GGCAGAGATGGGGGGAGCTGGGGTGTCATTTGAAAGCCCCCCAAGTGACTCACGGGTACAAAGCCCCACCAGGACCCCCACGCTGGGCTGGGGCCACCAAGGGTTGAGGGAATCCAAGAATTTGGGGTCACAGCCCCACAAGACCCCCATGGGCTGAGGGAATCCAGGACTTTGGGGTCACAGCAATGAGATTTGGGGTGTTTGATGGGGGGAACGTGGAGGACCCCTCTGGTGACACCAGCCCTGGGAAGGACAGGTCCTGGTGGGGCTGTGGTGCACCCCAAGTGATGTCACATTGCACCACAGCCCCACCAGGACCTGTCCTTCCCAGGGCTGGTGTCACCAGAGGGGTCCTCCACGTTCCCCCCATCAAACACCCCAAATCTCATTGCTGTGACCCCAAATTTCTGGGTTCCCTCAGCCCATGGGGGTCCTGGTGGGGCTGTGACCCCAAAGTCCTGGATTCCCTCAGCCTTTGGGGGTCCTCGGGGGGCTGTGACCCCAAAGCCCTGGATTCCCTCAGCCCTTGGTGGCCCCAGCCCAGTGTGGGGGTCCTGTGGGGCTGTGCCCAATGTGACATCACTGGGGGGTCTTTTCAAATGACACCCCAACTCCCCCCATCTCTGCCGGGGTCCTCTTTGCTGCTCCCTGGAGCTTCTCCCTCTTCTCTGTCCTGGCTCCTCCTCATCCCCCGTGGGGCTGGTCCTGCTGGAAATGGGGGTGTCACCCTCTTGGGGTCACACATCCCCAATGTTGGGGTGTCTCTGATTTGGGCTGCCAGGAGGGGACAGTTGTGTCTCGGTCTCTGTCCTTCCCAGGGCTGGTGCCACCAAGGGGGTTCTCACCTCCTCAAACAGCCCAAATCTCATTGCTGTGACCCCAAATTCCTTGATTCCCTCAGCCCGTGGGGGTCCTGTGTGGCTGTGACCCCAAATTCTTGGATTCCCTCAACCCTTGGTGGCCCCAGCCCAGCGTGGGGGTCCTGGTGGGTCTGTGGTGCAATGTGACATCACTTGGGGTGCACCACAGCCCCACCAGGACCTGTCCTTCCCAGGGCTGGTGTCACCAAGGGGGTTCTCCCCGTTTCCCCCATCGAACACCCCAAATCTCATTGCTGTGACCCCAAAGACCTGGATTCCCTCAGCCCGTGGGGATCCCGGTGGAGCTGTGACCCCATGTGTCACTTGGGGTGCTTTCAAATGACACCCCAGCTCCCCCCATCTCTGCTGGGGCCAACACGTGCCCCGTTCCCTGGATCTTCTCCCTCTTCTCTGTCCTGGCTCCTCCTCGTCCCCCGTGGGGCTGGTCCTGCTGGAAATGGGGGTGTCACCCTCTTGGGGTCACACATCCCCAATGTTGGGGTGTCTCTGATTTGGGCTGCCAGGAGGGGACAGTTGTGTCTCGGTCTCTGTCCTTCCCAGGGCTGGTGTCACCAAGGGGGTTCTCACTGGTCCCCCCATCAAACACCCCAAATCTCATTGCTGTGACCCCAAATTCCTGGATTCCCTCAGCCCATGGGGGTCCTGGTGGGGCTGTGACCCCAAATTCCTGGATTCCCTCAGTCCTTGGTGGCCCCAGCCCAGTGTGGGGGTCTTGGTGGGGCTGTGGTGCAATGTGACATCACTTGGGGTGCACCACAGCCCCACCAGGACCTGTCCTTCCCAGGGCTGGTGTCACCAGAGGGGTCCTCCATGTTCCCCCCCTGGCTTCTGTGTCACCAAGGGGGTTCTCACCTCCTCAACCAGCCCAAATCTCATTGCTGTGACCCCAAATTCCTGGATTCCCTCAGCCCGTGGGGGTCCTGTGGGGCTGTGACCCCAAATTCTTGGATTCCCTCAGCCCTTGGTGGCCCCAGCCCAGTGTTGGGGTCCTGTGGGGCTGTGCCCAGTGTGACATCACTTGGGGTGCACCACAGCCCCACCAGGACCTGTCCTTCCCAGGGCTGGTGTCACCAAGGGGTTTCTCACCTCCTCAAACACCCCAAATCTCATTGCTGTGACCCCAAATTTCTGGGTTCCCTCAGCCCATGGGGGTCCTGGTGGGGCTGTGACCCCAAAGTCCTGGATTCCCTCAGACTGTGGGGGTCCTGTGGGGCTGTCCCCAGTGTGGCATCACTGGGGGGGCTTTTCAAATGACACCCCAACTCCCCCCATCTCTGCCGGGGCCAACATGTGCCCCGTTCCCTGGCTCTTCTCCCTCTTCTCTGTCCTGGCTCCTCCTCGTCCCCCGTGGGGCTGGTCCTGCTGGAAATGGGGGTGTCACCCTCTTGGGGTCACACATCCCAGTGTTGGGGTGTCTCTGATTTGGGCTGCCAGGAGGAGACAGTTGTGTCTCGGTCTCTGTCCTTCCCAGGGCTGGTGTCACCAGAGGGGTCCTCCATGTTCCCCCCCTGGAACACCCCACATCTCATTGCTGTGACCCCAAATTCTTGGATTCCCTCAGCCCTTGGTGTCCCCAGCCCAGTGTGGGGGTCCTGGTGGGGCTGTGGTGCACCCCAAGTGATGTCACATTGCACCACAGCCCCACCAGGACCTGTCCTTCCCAGGGCTGGTGTCACCAGAGGGGTCCTCCACGTTCCCCCCATCAAACACCCCAAATCTCATTGCTGTGACCCCAAAGTCCTGGATTCCCTGAGCCCATGGGGGTCCTGGTGGGGCTGTGACCCCAAAGTCCTGGATTCCCTGAGCCCATGGGGGTCCTGGTGGGGCTGTGACCCCAAAGTCCTGGATTCCCTGAGCCCATGGGGGTCCTGGTGGGGCTGTGACCCCAAAGTCCTGGATTCCCTGAGCCCATGGGGGTCCTGGTGGGGCTGTGACCCCAAAGTCCTGGATTCCCTGAGCCCATGGGGGTCCTGGTGGGGCTGTGACCCCAAAGTCCTGGATTCCCTGAGCCCATGGGGGTCCTCGGGGGGCTGTGACCCCAAAGCCCTGGATTCCCTCAGCCCTTGGTGGCCCCAGCCCAGTGTGGGGGTCCTGTGGGGCTGTCCCCAGTGTGACATCACTTGGGGTGCTTTCAAATGACACCCCAACTCCCCCCATCTCTGCCGGGGTCCTGTTTGCTGCTCCCTGGAGCTTCTCCCTCTTCTCTGTCCTGGCTCCTCCTCGTCCCCCGTGGGGCTGGTCCTGCTGGAAATGGGGGTGTCACCCTCTTGGGGTCACACATCCCAGTGTTGGGGTGTCTCTGATTTGGGCTGCCAGGAGGAGACAGTTGTGTCTCGGTCTCTGTCCTTCCCAGGGCTGGTGTCACCAAGGGGGTTCTCCATGTTCCCCCCCATCAAACACCCCAAATCTCATTGCTGTGACCCCAAATTCTTGGATTCCCTCAACCCTTGGTGGCCCCAGCCCAGCGTGGGGGTCCTGGTGGGGCTTTGTACCCGTGAGTCACTTGGGGGAAATTCCTGGATTCCCTCAGCCCATGGGGGTCTTGTGGGGCTGTGACCCCAAATTCTTGGATTCCCTCAACCCTTGGTGGCCCCAGCCCAGCGTGGGGGTCCTGGTGGGGCTTTGTACCCGTGAGTCACTTGGGGGGCTTTCAAATGACACCCCAGCTCCCCCCATCTCTGCCCCACACCATGGCCAGCCCCACACCGTGCTGTCCCATGGTCATACCCTCCCTTCTCCTTCCCAAATGCCCGGGGCTGGTGGCGTTGGCCATCCCTGGAGATGTCACCCCTTCTCCCGCTCCCCCTCTTTGAAGCTTCACTGACCCCCTTTGGTGCCAGAGGGGGGGTCCCAGAGGGGGGGTCCCAGCCCCACTCCCACGGGTGCTGGGGGTGATGGCTCCTTCTCCCCTTCTCTCCAGGCAGGTTTCGTGCCGACAACCTCAACAAGCTGAAGAACTTGTGCAGCAAAACCATCGGGGACAAGATGAAGGTGAGACCTCACCCCAGACGGTCCCTGGTGGTGGCATCTCCCCCAGGTTCCTCCCCGCTCTCTGGGTCTCCCAGAGGAATCATTTTCTTCCAGAGTTTTGGTTTTTAACCCTCTGGGGTTTTTTTTTTTCCCTCCTCTTCCTCCTCCTGCAGAGGAAGGAGCCGGTGGGGACAGACGAGTCGGTGCCGGAGACGGCGCAGAACCTGGAGGAGCTCACGGCCGACGTCCTGGGGGTGAGTCTCACCCCGTCCCCCCCCCGACTCCGCTGCTGGGACCCCCAGTTCCTTGGGAAATCGGACTGGGAATTCCCTGACCCCCAGCACTGAATGAAGGGGGTCTCCCTGACCCCCAGCACCAAGCAGGGGGGGGTCTCCCTGACCCCCAGCACTGAGCGAGGGGGGGCTTCCTGACCCCAAACACTGAGGGGGGGCTCTCTGACCCCCAGCACTGAATGAAGGGGGACTCCCTGACCCCAAACACTGAGGGGTGGCCCCCTGACCCCCAGCACCGAGCGAGGGGGAGTTCCCTGACCCCCAGCTCTGAAAGAAGGGGGATTCCCTGACCCTCAGGACTGATGGGGGGCTCCCTGACCCCCAGCACCGAGATGGGACTCCCTGACCCCCAGCACTGAATGAGGGGGGGCTCCCTGACCCCCAGGACCAAGCAAGGGGGGGCTCCCTGACCCCCAGCACCGAGCGATGGGGGGCTCGCTGACCCCAAACACTGAGGGGGGGTTCCCTGACCCCCAGGACCAAGCGAGGGGCGGTTCCCTGACCCCCAGCACTGAGCGAGGGGGGGCTCCCTGACCCCCAGCACTGAGCGAGGGGGGGCTCCCTGACCCCCAGCTCTGAATGAGGGGGGGCTCCCTGACCCCCAGCACTGAATGAGGGGGGGCTCCCTGACCCCCAGGACCAAGCAAGGGGGGGCTCCCTGACCCCCAGCACCGAGCGAGGGGGGGCTTCCTGACCCCCAGCACTGAGATGGGACTCCCTGAACCCCAGTGCCAAGCAAAGGGGGCTCTCTGATCCCCAGCACCGAATGAGGGGGGGCTCTCTGACCCCCAGGACTGAGTGAGGGGGGCTCCCTGACCTCCAGCACTGAAAGAAGGGGGGCTCCCTGACCCCCAGCACCGAGCAAGGGGGGGTTCCCTGACCCCAAACACTGAGTGAAGGGGGCTCCCTGACCCCAAACACGGAGGGGGGGGCTCCCTGACCCCCAGCACCGAGCGATGGGGGGCTCGCTGACCCCAAACACTGAGGGGGGGTTCCCTGACCCCCAGGACCAAGCGAGGGGCGGTTCCCTGACCCCCAGCACTGAGCGAGGGGGGGCTCCCTGACCCCCAGCACTGAGCGAGGGGGGGCTCCCTGACCCCCAGCTCTGAATGAGGGGGGGCTCCCTGACCCCCAGCACTGAATGAGGGGGGGCTCCCTGACCCCCAGGACCAAGCAAGGGGGGGCTCCCTGACCCCCAGCACCGAGCGAGGGGGGGCTTCCTGACCCCCAGCACTGAGATGGGACTCCCTGAACCCCAGTGCCAAGCAAAGGGGGCTCTCTGATCCCCAGCACCGAATGAGGGGGGGCTCTCTGACCCCCAGGACTGAGTGAGGGGGGCTCCCTGACCTCCAGCACTGAAAGAAGGGGGGCTCCCTGACCCCCAGCACCGAGCGAGGGGGGGCTTCCTGACCCCCAGCACTGAGATGGGACTCCCTGACCCCCAGCACTGAATGAGGGGGGGCTCCCTGACCCCCAGCACTGAAAGAAGGGGGGCTCCCTGACCCCCAGCACTGAAAGAAGGGGGGCTCCCTGACCCCCAGCACTGAAAGAAGGGGGGCTCCCTGACCCCCAGCACTGAAAGAAGGGGGGCTCCCTGACCCCCAGCACCGAGCGAGGGGGGGCTTCCTGACCCCCAGCACTGAGATGGGACTCCCTGACCCCCAGCACTGAATGAGGGGGGGCTCCCTGACCCCCAGGACCAAGCAAGGGGGGGCTCCCTGACCCCCAGCACCGAGCGAGGGGGGGCTTCCTGACCCCCAGCACTGAGATGGGACTCCCTGAACCCCAGTGCCAAGCAAAGGGGGCTCTCTGATCCCCAGCACCGAATGAGGGGGGGCTCTCTGACCCCCAGGACTGAGTGAGGGGGGCTCCCTGACCTCCAGCACTGAAAGAAGGGGGGCTCCCTGACCCCCAGCACCGAGCAAGGGGGGGTTCCCTGACCCCAAACACTGAGTGAAGGGGGCTCCCTGACCCCAAACACTGAGGGGGGGGCTCCCTGACCCCCAGCACTGAGCGAGGGGGGATTCTGTGACCCCAGCACTGAATGAAGGGGGGCTCCCTGACCCCCAGCACTGAGATGGGGCTCCCTGACCCCCAGCACCAAGCGAGGGGGGGCTCCCTGACCCCCAGCACTGAGGTGGGACTCCCTGACCCCCAGCGCTAAGCAAGGGGGGCTCCCTGACCCCCAGCTCCGGGTGAGGGGGGGCTCCCTGACCCCCAGCAGCGAGCGAGGGGGGGCTCCCTGACCCCCAGCACTGAGTGAGGGGGGCTCCCTGACCCCCAGGACTGAGGTGGGACTCCTTGACCCCCAGCACCAATCGAGGGGGGGCTCCCTGACCCCCCTCCCTGGAGGATCCTTATCCCCCCCTGTCCCCCCCCACCACTACCGAGCTCTTACTCTGTGTCCTTCAACCAGAAGACCCTCCTGCACTTTTGGGGGGGGGGGGGGAGCAGCCTCGGTCATTCCGTGTCCTCCTCCAGCCCCCTCCTCCCTCCCCGTTCCCCTTCCCAGCTCGTTAACACAGGGTGGTTAATGAGCGTGGCACTGGCCAGCTCTTGCTGCCAGGGGAGCTGTCTGTTCCCCCCCAGGTCCCTGCTGGGCTCTGGTCCTCTCAGAGCCTGACTTATGTCTGTCCTTTCTCCTCTGGGGGCTGGTTTGGTGCCTTCAGTCCCTGGTTTCTCTCCAAAAACCACATTCGGTGGAGTGAGGGGCTGAGATTACCCATGTGTGTCCCCCCCCTTTTCTTCCCTGGTGTTTTTCTCCCCTTGCCCACCCCCCTGTCCCTGTCCCCAGGCTCTGCAGGTCTCCCAGATCAAGAAGGTCCGTCTCCTCATCGATGAAGCCATCCTCAAGTGCGACGCCGAGCGGCTCCGGCTGGAGGCCGAACGGTTCGAGAGCCTGCGGGAGATCGGGAACCTCCTCCACCCCTCCGTGCCCATCAGCAACGACGAGGTAAGAGGCCACACCATCCCCCTCTGCTCTGAGGAAAGGGACTTGGGGGTGCTGGTGGAGGAGAAGCTGGCCATGAGCAGGCAGTGGGCACTCAAGCTGGAGGGGAACAGATTTAGACTGGAGATCAGGAGGGGGTTCTTCACTGTGAGGGTGGTGGAGCACTGGAACAGGTTGCCCAGGGAGGTGGTTGAGGCCCCATCCCTGGAGATATTCAAGGAGAGGCTCGATGAAGCCCTGGGCAACCTGGTCTAGTTGGGGGTGTCCCTGCTGACTGCGGGGGGGTCGGACTAGATGGCCTTTGGAGGTCCCTTCTGGCCTGGGCAATTCTATGATTCTGTGATTCTATGATCTATGATTCTATGCTCCTCCATCTGGAGCACTGGGACCAGTTCTGGGCTCCCCAGTTCCATAAGGACAAGGAACTGCTGGAGAAAGGACAGCAGAGGGCTATGAGGATGATGAGGGACCTGGAGCATCTCTCTGCTGAGGAGAAGCTGAGGGACTTGGGGCTTTTGGGGCTGGAGAAGAGAAGGCTGAGGGGGGATCTCCTCAAGGGTGGGGGTCAGGAGGATGGGGCCGGTCTTTTTTCAGTGGTGCCCATAGAATCATTCAGGTTGGAATCAAGTCCAACCATCCACCCTACTCTACATAGTCCTCCCCTCCACCATATCCCAGGGACAGGACAAGAGGGAACGGGCACAAACTTGACCATAAGAAGTTCCATCTCAACATGAGGAGGAACTTCTTGACTTTGAAGGTGGCAGAGCCCTGGAAGAGGCTGCTCAGGGAGGTGGTGGAGCCTCCATCTCTGGAGACATCCAAACCCCACCTGGACACGTTCCTGCGGGACCTGCTTGTGGGGCAGGGGGTTGGAGGAGATGTTCTCCAGAGGTCCCTCCGTGATGCTGTGAGAGAGGAGCTAGGGATGAGACTGAGCTCAGAGGGTTCACCAAAGCCCAAGAGCTGACTTCAAGCGGTGGAGAGGGGGGGGTCAGTGTGGGGAGATCCCCCTCCCCACACCCCGGGGAGGAGTGAATGGGATCTGCATGACAAGACAGGGTTTGGGGACAAAGAGCGGCTCAGCCCGGGCTGGAGAGGGCCATTGTTGGGGGAATTCATGGGAAAACTGGCTTCCAGCTGGGATCCCCCCCACCCCCCCTCCCCGGCCTTCATTCATCCAGCGGGATGGACACACACACACACACACACACGCTCTCCAACCTTCACCTGAAGGAAAAACTGCCGGTTTAAGAAGCCAGGATTTCTGTGTGTCTGTAGGGTGAGATGGAGAATGCATGAAAATCAAGGAGGGGAGGGCTTGGGATCTGGTAACCTGGAATAGGCAGATAAGCCAGGAAGTGAGTGGTTTTATTAAAAACCCAAGAGCCCAGCTGCCTGTGGTCCTTTCCCTGCCTGTTCCCTGTGCTGCACCACCTCTGCCCTGAGCCCTCCCATGGGCTCAGCACAGTGTAAGAACAGCCCTGCTTTGCCCCAGCATCTTCCTTGACCACCTCTGCGCCCCGGGGCTGGCTGTCCTGTCCTCACACACAGCCAGCCCTTCCTGGGCTGCCATCTGTCCCCTCCCTCCCTCCCTCAGATCCACCTCTTTCAAGATGCCCCTGGTGGTACAACAGCTCCTTATGATGCAGCTTCACCTGCGGGGTGTTTTTGCAAAAGCCTTATCTATGCTGATGCTGATCCTAGTCCCTGACCCAGGAACGTACCCAGCTCTTCTCTGTCCTTCCAGCCAGGGCAGAGACATAAAGCTTTTGTCCAAGCACTTTGGTGCAATGGAGGGTAACTGCTTCTCTCTCTTCTCCTCTCTCCTCTCTCCTCTCTTCTCTCTTCTCCCTCCCCTTCCCCCTTTCCTTCCTCTCCTCTTCCCCGTCCCCTTCCCTTCCCTCCCCCTCTTTCCAGGACGCAGACAACAAGGTGGAGCGTGTCTGGGGTGACGTTGGCTGTCGGAAGAAGTACTCGCACGTGGACCTGGTGGTGATGGTGGACGGCTACGAGGGAGAGAAGGGGGCCGTGGTGGCCGGCAGCCGCGGCTACTTCCTCAAGGTGTGAGCCCAGACCCCCCATGGGGAGATGGAGACGGGGGGGACAGGGGGGGCCTGGCTGCGGGGACAGGAGCTCACGCTGAGCTGGCTGGTGGTGCAGGACCAGCTCTGGCCACCCTGGGATTGCCACTGTCACCTGAGCATCCCTCCGGATCCAGCATCCCTGGAGCTGCCCTGGGCTCTTCCCAGCCCCAGTGAGCCAGAAGGGATGGCAAAGTGGGAGGGGGGGTGTGTGTGTGTGACAAGGAAGTGTGTAGTGGTGTGTGTGTGTGACAGGAGGGGGATATGTGTGTGTGTGTGACAGGGAGGGGTGTGTGACAGGGAGGGGGG